TCTAGCATAAGGGCTTGTATGCAGGTGCCACTATATTTCCTGAATGCCTATTATGACAATTTACTTGATTTTCAGTTCTTGTTTCCTTGTTTTTTTGAAAAAGCTTCTACCTGTGTAAAGTAAATGTTTTCTCACAGTCCTTCAAAGAATACTTAGTGTGCTGTAGATTATGTCAAAGGAATCTTCTAAAATTATATCCATTCTCAAATAACTTTTGTAATATGAAGCTATTAATCTATCGTGTTGATCATTCCTTAGTAAGTTAATTATACAACATTGGTGTTTACCGTAATACTTAACAGTCTGATAAAAAAATCATGTTAGCATCAATACATCCACTTTCATTTTCAGACGAGTAAGTTAATTGAAGCGCATATATGAAACTGGACGGTATTGAAAGTTTGTCCTTTTATCGTGTTCACCGGTGAATGACTAGTGTAGGTGATATACACGGTAACTGGATGCAATATCCCAATGACACCATTCGTTCTGCAAATTCAAAAGTAACTGATAGTCTGAATATCAGTTATGAAGTAGTCGAAACTTTCGTGTATCTGGACAGTTGTGTGAATCCTGATAAAGGTGTTACTGATGAAATTTCGAACCGTATGTCGAAAAATAGAGTGCCATGTGCCAACCTGAGTCACCTTTAGGGACGTTGACCTGACCTTAAAAGGTTGGATATATAATTCTTTCGGTACGAGTAGTTCTGCTCTACACCTATGAAACCTGACCTCTCCGAGTTGAGGATGTGCGACAGCAGTGTGTTCGATCATCGTTGTCACCGTAGGACTACTCGTACCTGATGGCAACACCATATAAGTAATTCTGAGGTGCGACAGAGTGTGTTTGGACTTGATCGAGACCGTCATTCAATAAGTGAAGTCATCTGGAAACACAGCCTTCGGTGACTTGGATATGTGTTACGCATGTCATCTCAGCGGCTTCTATACCGTTCATTATTTACTAACCATGGGACAGATAGAAGGAGCGGAGGGGTGGTCAGTGTATGACGTGGTGCTGTAGGATGAAGGATAGTTGTACCGAGCTAACATCTGTTGGTACATCACGACTTCCTGGGTTAGGTCTGAGAGATCACGCAAACCAGAGGCTTTAGACGTTATCAGATATGGCTCAGAATGGAAACCAGTGGTGATCACATTGTAGCTTCCTTCCACCTTCTACTGCTGAAAAGTAAAAAATGTTCTTTTCAAATGTATCTTACTGAACTGCCCTTCTAATAATTCTATTCTTACTGTTTTTATTCTTATCCACTTTCCTTCACTTTGTGTCTTCACATTGTTGCTATACTATTTTGTCAGATGTATCTCTCGATCTCCTTACTGTAAAACGTTTGTGTTCTAATAACAGTAATAGTAATAATGATAATGATAATAATAATAATAATAATAATAATAATAATACCAATAATAATAATAATAATTCTGAAGGCTACTCACTTTGGGAAGGAGTAAAACGTAGTTTGACCTGGTCTCATCAACCCAATTCCAGGTGCTGATATAACCAACATAAATGCGATAAGAACTGTCAACACGTGTATGCATACAGATCTCAGTCTATAGTTCGAACGCTCTTCACACACACACACACACAACACACTTCATATGGATATAATCTTGTATTCTATAATTCTGACAATACAGAACCATTCATACAGAAGAACGCTTATCAAGTTATGATATATATATATATATATATATATATATATATATATATATATATATATATATATGAACTTGGAGGTTATTTAACTTCCAGTTTATTATAAGCTTGATAAATCTATTAGCAGCACTGAATAGGGAAACGTCAGTTGTATGCTTCTCACCCGATGTAAGAATGGATACCTCAAAAGATCCATCTACAGTAAAGCAATATGGAACGGACAACTAACAAATTTTCATAGTTGGACGTCTCTCTCTCTGCTATCGAATAAGAAATATCCATAGTGAAGATTTGCAATCAATGTGGAGATCTACTGCACTCAGCACAAAGAACAAGATCCGGATTTTCAACGCTAGTCTCAAGTCAGTGCTGCTATATGGTTCAGAAACTTGGCGCTTCACGAAAAGCATTTCCAACAAACTACAGACACTTATCAACAGCCACCGTCTACGCCCACTCGATACTGAAGATGGAGATGGAGATCAGATGGCCAGAATAATACGAATAAGCAACAAGTAACAAGGAACTCTAGTTGGGAACGAACCAACAAAGAACCTATCACCTAACAGATATACAGTGGAGAGTGGAGATGGAGATGGATTAGACATACACTGAGAAGGCTGACTGGGGACATCACGTGCCAGGCCAGGCCCTCGAGTGGGATCCAAAGGGTGAAACGACAAGTTGGGGATCTGAGGCGAGGATGACTTGGAGGAGATCATGTGAAGAAGAAATGAAAGCTTGTGGGCAGTGCTTGCGTCAGGTTGAAAAGACTGGCGAGAAGAGAGTGCAGTGGAAGCGTGCTACGAAGCCGTATGTTTCACTAGGAATCCAAGGGAAAATAATAATAATAGTGAAGATTGTGTTTGTGAAGAGCTATCGTTTTTAAAAAGCACACCCGTTAAATACGGTTACCCTAGCCGTATCATTGATAAAAATATGCTAGAAAGAAACACTAAACTAGTCATCCACTCTGTTTAAAAGAAAATATTGTTCATGAGCCTAGAATCTAAAGGTAACGTGGCATCAGATGTGCTAAAGAATCGTCTATACAAATCAAACGACAGAACTTTCATCTTAACAACAAGACTTCAATTGACTTTTACCAGGCATAAACTATTCTCCGTTTGTGCTAAAGATAAGCTTCCTTCGTTTGGCCACATCTATGTGCATCTACCAGTTCATCTGCTCTTGTGGAGCCAAGGTAAATTGGATGTAGTAAGAGAATGCTTTCTACACGAGGTGAAAGAAAGTCTGTTAGAAGTTCTATTCTAGAACACATGATTGATTTCCATCACTCAATAAACCCAGACAATGACTTTAAAATTATTTTTTGAATTCTCCTAAACTTCCCACTTTTTTTCATTTTCAACTCCTTAAAACAGTGGAGGATTTAGCTATTCATCAACTAAAACCTAATCTGTGTCTACATAAGAAAGTATGTACAGTAGTCACTGTTTTTACCATGTTCATAACATTTTGCCATCCCCATCAGTTCCCCTCCCCCTTTGTTAATTCTTTCATTACTATTATTGTTATTAAAATTGCCTTCACTTTGATTAGTTTCCGGTGTTATTTCAGTTAATTATCTTAATCAGTACAAGGGTTTTTTTTCTTGTATATGATACCGTTGTTGATTGGACCGAACTGATCGGTCTCTGTTAGCATATAGGCTCCTGTACGGATGTCTCGATATTGCCAGTAATCTAATTATGTTAAGGATGGATCGTGGTTGGCAGTGGAATCTAGTGGGAACAACATCACTCACTGGGAAGCAGGTACATCCAGCTGACGAGTCTCAAGTAGGACGAAATGCACATCCTGGATTCCACTGCTAGACACGATCCATCCTTAACATAAATTATTCTAATCTTTTTGGCAAGTATTTATTTCATCTTGACCAACTCGTCTAATCTTGTTACACAATACTTAATTGGTTTACCATCTTAACGAGTTTTTTCACCCCCTTCTGAGTTATATGAGGCACTCTGTATATTATGTAATCTACTTTGTTATAATTTATATTTCAATTGTTATCATAATCACAAATGCCTACGTCATAATGGGATATAATTTTTCAAATTATATTTCTTTTGTTACTCCAACTGATATCAGTCTACGATGAATAAAAACTTGAAATATTTCCAAATCCCCACAACTCCCTCAAAATTCAATTGAACTGGTGCTCATTGGTGACTGGCTTTGAGGGGTATTCCCCAACTTCCAATCAGAAGTGTCGTGACCGGTGGGGGCAAAGCCTGATGGTAGTAAGGACAGTTACTCAACAATGACATTGACTGGCAGTTGCGCTATATCGTGAGCTAACAGAAGTTGTAAATATGGACGATTGGATTCTGACTCAGTGGTTAGCTCGATGGTAACGTGCTGGCCATGGAACCTGAAAGTCGTGGGTGTACACTGCTGAGAAGTCCCATACTGGTCAGGCGAGACAGCTGTCCAGTGCTCCCAGGTTCCCTTTGTTCCTCCAACTGACGTCAGTCTACGATGAATAACATCTTGATTATATATATATATATATATATATATATATATATATATATATATATATATATATATATATATATATATATGCGTTGTACACCTTGAAAATAAATTCGTTAAAAGGAGCCTCTTCGCTGAATACCGTTTTTCTTAAACATCAGTTCAAACAAAGTTGTTTTGTTTTACATTCTGATAGGGAAATACAACAGCCGAAATAATGAATATTATTTACTCAATGCCTAAATCATCATATCCCAGCTTGCTTTGGATATTTATAAAGTCAATCATAATTATGTCTGTTGTTTTGCGAACCAGCTACCACCGGGTCACCAACCCAGTGCTTTACCAACTTAGTTGCAAGGTCCAACTACTATTTCACTTCAATCATCAAGATGGTTTTTGCCCGACTACCATGTGAATCCATGACTCATTACTACCGCTTCATCTTATCCACACTGGCTGCTGCCTAGTCAGGACATCTAAGAAAGGTCATAGTTTCACAGACTAGTATTTATACTGGGTAATGATTGAAGGTGAGATGAAAATCTAAACCGCAGCCGGGTTCGAACCAGCAACCATCGGATTACCAGTCCAGTGCTCTACTAACTGTTAAAAGTATGTTATACAATATTTTTTTTCTGGTATTTATCTGTTTCTTGAAAGTATAAGGAAACTGTATACAAAAATTGTATTGTTCTATTGATTGATAACTTTCTACTTGGCTCAACATTCCAATTATGCAACTTAAGGGCTATAATAACCATCATAATATAATAGTAAATTTAATATAATATTAATACTATTTTTTTTTATTATTATTCTATCATTTCACTTTGATCACGTGAAAAATTGACAAATACTTGATCTAATGTTGTTTGTTTTACTGAATACTGTTCAATAATATGCTTAGATTGCATATCATTTAAAAATGTAAATAAAGCGGATAAATGAATTTCTTTACTCATTTGATATATATAATAACATGATCTTACTTCAATTAATGTTGAATTAGGAAAATTAGACTGAAATTTAATTTTGAATTCATTCATATTATTACTATTATTATTATTAGTTAAAGGATTGAATCGTATTTCAACTGTATACCCATTACCATAACGTTTTTTTAGATGTTGTATACTTCCAAAACATTTTAATTGTCCATTAATCATAATACCAATATATTGACATAAAGTTTCACATTCTTCCATACTATGCGTTGTAAGTAGAATAGAACAATTTTGTTGAATAAGTGATATAATTTGATTCCATATAAAACGTCGACTAATTGGATCCATTCCACTAGTTGGTTCATCTAATAAATTACTTTTGGTTTGCCAATAATAGCTATTGATGTTGATAATTTTCTTCGATTACCACTTGAATAAACAGAAATAATTTGATCTGCATACATTGATAATCCCATATTATGCAATATATTAGAGACTATTGTAGATATATGCATCTCATTAATACCACGTAGACGTGCATAGAAATTTAATGTTTCTCTACCTGTTAATAAATTATGAATAGCATCGAATTGTGGACAATAACCAAGATTTTGATGTGCATTTTTACTTTGTGTAATCATATTATAACCATTTATATATACTTTTCCCATAGATGGTTGTATATAATTAGTAATCATATTAAATGTAGTTGTTTTACCAGCTCCATTTAATCCAAGTAAACCAAAACATTCACCTGGATGAACTGCAAATGTAAGTGAATTTACTGATGGTTTCTTTTTTAATGGAAAAAATTTAGTTAAATTTATTACTGCTATTGAATATAATGAATGAATTTGATTTAAAGAATCTGCCTAAATAGAGAAAAAAAAAGACATAAGGCAAGAGGATAAGTACAATTGTATAAAAGAGACGTTATCAAATATACACATAGTTGATATGGTTACAAAAAGAGATTATCATAAGATTTAAGAATTTCTAAACTCTTGGATTCAATGGAACACTTAAACCTTTCACTGACTCAGTGACTAAGTGGATAACGTTTAAGTATCTGAGGTGATCCTTCATCTATTCGATCGAGTCTTAGTGTAGACAATATCATTCACTAGGAGGTAGGATGAAACATACATCCTGCTCTCAACTCCTAGCTAGATACTGACAAACGTTGATATGGACACGATTTTTAAATGATTACAACTCATCAAAAAGACAGGCAATTTCAACATTTGAGAGAATAAACAAGTTTGAGATAAAGGTTAGGGTGAATATCCAAGATTTATAGGAGGTTAAATAGTGAATATATCCACGCCACTTTAACCGATTTTCAGTCATGTCACTATGAGTCAGTCGTCAATCACTGAGTCCTTTCATTTCATAGATCCCAGCTAGGCAATCTACATCTTTCAGTAGTCAGAAACTTCATTGATTTGCATCATAACCTGATCTAGTCACCTTGAACCCTCTTCCAATCTAATCCAACATCCCCTAAAGGTAAGCGGTGGCTCAGTGTGCAAAACACACATCCTAGTCACTTCAATTGATGAAGTTTCCTTACCTCATCAATTGACTTGTCGATCATACTTGGTAGCGTTCGCTTGATCCCAATATTACACACACGGTGATTCCACCAAATACGGACAATGCTGCAAAGAAACCTGTGATCGAAACGCTGAAATAGCTTCATGTCTTCTACTTTCAACAGCCACTTTCCACTGCGGTATAACACGACAGAACGGACTGCAGCATAGTATAATCAATCTTTGATAGATAGTCAGGTGTCTCGTCAGTCGGCGGCGTAGATGATCGAAGTTGGCAAATTCCAAACGAGCTTTCTGTATGCGAGCTGAGATTTTTTCAGCAAGTAATCTCTTTTGGTTGATGCAACTTTTCAAATAAGTGAAGCGGTTAACATATTTCACAACTTAACTCCCTTTCATTAAACTGGAAGTGGTTGCATCGTCATCATTTAGCAGGTACCAGTGGAACACACCAAACATACTCAAATTTCTGGTCAATGTGTTCACAACAATCTGTATTTTACCAGCGTATTCATCGATCAGAAGAATACCGTCTGTGTACATCTAGTCAAAGGAGTAGGTCAATCACTATGAAGTAAGGCGTACCTATGGTCATTTCCATGAGTACATCTACTATTGTTATTATTATTATTTATTATTTGTTCCTTGGGTTCTTGGTGGAACCTACAGCTTCACTAGCACGTTTATATTCCACTCTCTTCTCTGCAATCTTTTCAACCTGGCTCCACCACTGCCCACAAGCTCTCATTTCTTCCTCACATGATCTTGTCTATGTCGCCCTCACCTCAGACGCCCAATTCCCCGTTTCCGATCTGGCTTCCACTTAAGTGACTGGCACTTTACGTCCGGGATGATTTTCTCAGTACATGTCCAATCCACGTCCATCTCCACTTTTTGCTGCATATTTGTTCAGAGATACATTCTTGGTTGGTTCGTTGTCAGCCAACCAGTCAGAGTTCCTTGTTGCTTGTTCTTATTATCCTGGCCGTCTGAGCTTCAATAACTAGTCAGCGTAGGCAGTTGTTGATGAATATCTGTAGTTTGTTGCAAATCCCTTTCGTAACGCGCCAGGACTCTGAACCATATAGCAGCATTGACTTGACTGAATTGGTGTTGAGAATCCGGACGTTATTCACGCTTTATGCTGAGTGCAGAAGATCTCCACACTGGTTTCAGGTTAATGAACGCCTGTCTTGCTGTCTTTCCGATCCTGGCTGCTTTGACGTCTTCATCTGTGCCTCTGCGGCCTAGATAGGTGAAACAGGCTACTTCCTTTAAGTTTCTCCCCTTCATGGTGACTGGAGCTTGTTGTTGGTGTTGGTTAGATATCATCATCACCTCTCTCTTCTCTACCATCACTTGAAGTCCCGCCTTCCTTGACTTCCCTGTCTCTTCTATCAACTTGTTAGTTTTTGCCTGTAGATCTTCGAGTTTGTGCGACATTAGACGCAGGTCATCGGTGAAATTAAAATCTTCTAGGATCTTCCCCCCAGTCCATCGTATTCCTTTCTTCTTCCTCCTCACAGTTTGTTGCATAATTCAGTCCACCACAATCAGCAATATCATCGGCGATAGTAAACAGCCTTGTCTGTAAACGAGTTAAATAGGAACGATGACCGTAGACATCACACTTTTACTATATTGAAGAAAAAATAGTCTTGACAATGATTCCGTTTTTCCATCTGTATAATCATTTCTGTGCATAAATTTAAGTAAATAATTACTAATATATGTTTGTATGCATTATAAAATTGTATAAATGTAGATTATATAGATGGAAGGGAATAATGCTCATTATTTTCTCTGATACAAATTGTCTTCATATTCAACAGTTCTACTTGCAATACTCAAAGGATCAGGTAATGTTCAACTTCTTTTTTGTAATGATTGGTTACTAGATGAATTCCCAAACATGTTGATGAAAAATGATAACTATGTTTTTGGCTAGTCAACTTGAGATTTGGTATACTATGAATTCACTCATATTTCATTCTATGAACTATTGTTAACAATAATATGTTCAAATATGAAGTAAAATCTTGATCAGTGAATAATTTTTGACTTTTCTCACTACACAAGAATAATTGATCCTTCACATATGTTTTGTTTGTTATTTTGAAAATAAAAGGCTGAATCAGTCAGTAGACAAGTGTAACAAGTTTGATATAGGAGAGAAGTACAAATTATAACTACCACTAATGTTGTAATATCTAAGTGAAGTGTTGACTACTAATGTTGTTTTTTTTTTCAACACACTACACCCTTATCAATTTATCTCAAAATTTTAGGATGAGAACTTTTGCCAAATTCATCTTCTCTATGTGAGATTTTTTAAGAATGATCCATTATACATCCTTGTAGGTTAGTCAGTAATAACTATAACCGAATGGAATGAATTTTTTCATTGACTAAATGTTTCAAGAATATAAACTGTAGCTCCTAGATATTCCATATAAAACTAGAGTTTTCTTTTAGGAAGGAAGACATATTCAAGGAATACATAGCAATAATTTATTCATTCGTATATTATCTCTCTTTCTGTATATCATTCCACCGAGTTGTTGCATCTCAGATTGTTATCCAACATTGTTTATTCATTGAATCAATTTTCTTACCGATCACTGGTCATCACTTTTGACAATCCTCTATATATACTATTTATTTACATTGTCATAAGTAGGCCTTACTAAAATTTCTTTACAGAAAAGTATCTGAATCACTTACAGTGAGTGGATTTAAGTAATATCTCCCGCCTTGGTTCACCCTACGAACAAAATTCAGTCATGAATAAAGCAGACAATTTCGTTAAGCGACAAATTGAAAAGTATACAATCTATGTATACATATTTTGCAGCTGCTTCAACACTACGGTTTTAGTGCCACAAAACTATCAAACTCATTCAACAGCAGCTATACGCTATATGAAGCTACATGTCAACTGACTCACAATGGAAAGCTCAGTGATGCCTTTGAAGTGGGGACAGTAGAAAGACAAGGCTGCCACCTACTATCACTGATCATCTTCCTGATTTTGGTCGACTGAATTGGACTGGATCATGCGACAAACTATGAGGAGCGAGAAGATGAGCATACGCTGCTTGACCAGTGAAAACGCCCTAGAAGAAGATTTGGATTTTGCCCATGATTATTTATGTCCACCACGATTTCTGTCTTATGTCTTGCCATACAAGCTCAAAGATCTACAGGCGAAAACTAACAAATCGGTAGAAGAAGCAAGGTAGCAAAGACAAAACTTACTTCAAGTGAAACTAGAGAAGATGGAGGTGATGAAGATACCCAACAATGATGACAACAACAACAACAAACTCCAGTCACCATGAACAGGAGAAGCCTAAAGGAAGTTGTCTCTCTCACCTATCTACCTACATGGACAGCATCGTTTCAACTACAGGTGACACAGGCACAGATGAGGACGTCAAAGACAGGACCGGAAATACAGGACAGACTTTCATTGATCCAAAATAATCAGTGTGGAGATCTACTGCACTCTACTCCATTCAGTATAAAGCGTGAACAAGATCCTGATTTTCAACACTAATTCAGTGAAGTAAGTCAGTGTTTCTGTGTGATGGTTGAGAGAGTTGGCACGTTACGAAAAGCATTTCCAACAAATCACAGACATGCATCATCAACAGATGTCAACTATGCCGGCTCCATACTGAAGATCAGATCAGATGGCTAGGGCCGATTGGGGACATCACGCGCCATGGAAGACCTTACAGTGGAAATGAAGTTGCAAACAACGAGTTGAGTGTCCGAGGCGAGGGTGACATTAAAGAGATCGTGTGAAGAAGAAATGAAAGGTTGTGGGCAGTCGTGGAGGCAAGTTGAAAAGACTGGAGAGAAGAGAGTGAAATAGCAACATGCCAGTGAAGCCGTATGTTGCACTAGGAACCCAAGGGACAAATAATAATAATAATAATAATAATGATAATCTCTGGATACCAAGTGAATATTATTTCTTTTTACTATGTTTTCATAGACAACTGAACAACAATAAGGTAGTATTTTATAAATTTAGATTATCATACTTTGTTACTCATATTTTTTGTGTAAAGTACAGAATTAAATTATAAGGAGAATGAATAAATGAATTAGTAAATTGCCCATATTTACCAAGAACATATGTGGGTGGTATTATTATCCCACTAATTTAGTAAATTGGATAAAAATATATGAAATTTTTCTTTATCTTTTCTGTCCCTCTCCCAAATACTATGTAGATTTAACTTTCTCAAAACTTATATCATGAACGAAAAAATAGGGAACGAATGAAATATAATTTTTAAGGAAGT